CAGGCTGGTGAAGGGCAGGCCGGCGAAGGGCAGGCCGGCGAAGGGCAGGCCGGCGAAGGGCAGGCTGGTGAAGGTCAGGCTGGTGAAGGTCAGGCTGGTGAAGGTCAGGCTGGTGAAGGTCAGGCTGGTGAAGGTCAGGCTGGTGAAGGTCAGGCTGGTGAAGGTCAGGCTGGTGAAGGTCAGGCTGGTGAAGGTCAGGCTGGTGAAGGTCAGGCTGGTGAAGGTCAGGCTGGTGAAGGTCAGGCTGGTGAAGGTCAGGCTGGTGAAGGTCAGGCTGGTGAAGGTCAGGCTGGTGAAGGTCAGGCTGGTGAAGGTCAGGCTGGTGAAGGTCAGGCTGGTGAAGGTCAGGCTGGTGAAGGTCAGGCTGGTGAAGGTCAGGCTGGTGAAGGTCAGGCTGGTGAAGGTCAGGCTGGTGAAGGTCAGGCTGGTGAAGGTCAGGCTGGTGAAGGTCAGGCTGGTGAAGGTCAGGCTGGTGAAGGTCAGGCTGGTGAAGGTCAGGCTGGTGAAGGTCAGGCTGGTGAAGGTCAGGCTGGTGAAGGTCAGGCTGGTGAAGGTCAGGCTGGTGAAGGTCAGGCTGGTGAAGGTCAGGCTGGTGAAGGTCAGGCTGGTGAAGGTCAGGCTGGTGAAGGTCAGGCTGGTGAAGGTCAGGCTGGTGAAGGTCAGGCTGGTGAAGGTCAGGCTGGTGAAGGTCAGGCTGGTGAAGGTCAGGCTGGTGAAGGTCAGGCTGGTGAAGGTCAGGCTGGTGAAGGTCAGGCTGGTGAAGGTCAGGCTGGTGAAGGTCAGGCTGGTGAAGGGCAGGCTGGCGAAGGCCGTGCTGAGTATGGTGACTGATTGCTGGGTGGGGCCGCTGTGTACGGTGGTGCAGGTCATTCACCCCACAGAGTGGAGTGGCTCTGGGTCTAGAGACCTGGATGGAGCTCAGTCCCCAAATCTATGAGCCCTCTGTAAATATTTTTTTTAAAACATTTTAAAATATATTTTTGTTGATTTCAGAGAGAGGAAGGGGAGAGAGAGAGAAAGAGAGAGAAACACCAATGATGAGAGAGAATCATTGATCAGCTGCCTCCTGCACACCCCCTACTGGGGATGGAGCCCACAACTTGGACATGTGCCCTGACCAGGAATCGAACCGTGACCTTCTGCTTCATAGGTCGAAGCTCAACCACTGAGCCACGCCAGCCGGGCATGTAATTCTTTAAGCAAACACAGGATACAACGTTCTCCAAGCGAACAAAGCAGCCAGCACTAGCCATGTCCAGAACCCCTTCCCAGAACCCCCTGGGTCCCACTGACCCCAAGGTCTCTTGTTTTACCACAGAAAACCTGGCGCTGGGGTCCTGCGGGCTATGGGGCTATTCTGCTGGTGAACTGTGACCGGGATGGTCTCGGGTCCAGGGGGCTCGACCTTGAAAACAGCCAGCTGACGTCACTGGAGGGTGAGCGACAGAAGGGACCTGTGGTGGTGTCCAGGGTGACGGTGTGGGGTGGTAAAGGGTCAGAGAGGATGGGACGGGAGCCGGTCAGCGGGGTAGAGGGAGGGTTGTCTCAAGGGTGCCACTCGCTTCAGACCTGAAGGACATGTCTCCCATGGTGCTGACCTGCGATGGCCCTGACAAGCTCTTCGACAACCACAAGCTGGTCCTGAATGTGCCGTTTTCTGATTCCAAAAGAGTGGGCGTCTTCTGTGCTCGGGGTGAGTGGCCTGGTGTCCTGCCCTGTCCATCCTCCGCTTCCCAAGCTCTTTCTTCTCTCGTCCACATCTCTCCCTTCCTCCATCACCTTTCGTAACTCTCATTACAGCTTACAAACAGCCACTCCATCCGGACACAACATGTCACCCAAGAAGGAGGCTCGATAACTAGTCCCATTATACAGAAGGATAAACTGAGGCTCAGATGCTTGAATTTACTGTCTTAAGGTCACACAACCATTTGGGGGTGGAGCAAGCATTCAAACCCAGGTCTCTTGAGTGCCAAAGCCCCTTCTCTCTCTACTGGGGATGGAGCCCACAACTTGGACATGTGCCCTGACCAGGAATCGAACCGTGACCTTCTGCTTCATAGGTCGAAGCTCAACCACTGAGCCACGCCGGCCGGGCATGTAATTCTTTAAGCAAACACAGGATACAACGTTCTCCAAGCGAACAAAGCAGCCAGCACTAGCCATGTCCAGAACCCCTTCCCAGAACCCCCTGGGTCCCACTGACCCCAAGGTCTCTTGTTTTACCACAGAAAACCTGGCGCTGGGGTCCTGCGGGCTATGGGGCTATTCTGCTGGTGAACTGTGACCGGGATGGTCTCGGGTCCAGGGGGCTCGACCTTGAAAACAGCCAGCTGACGTCACTGGAGGGTGAGCGACAGAAGGGACCTGTGGTGGTGTCCAGGGTGATGGTGTGGGGTGGTAAAGGGTCAGAGAGGATGGGACGGGAGCCGGTCAGCGGGGTAGAGGGAGGGTTGTCTCAAGGGTGCCACTCGCTTCAGACCTGAAGGACATGTCTCCCATGGTGCTGACCTGCGATGGCCCTGACAAGCTCTTCGACAACCACAAGCTGGTCCTGAATGTGCCGTTTTCTGATTCCAAAAGAGTGGGCGTCTTCTGTGCTCGGGGTGAGTGGCCTGGTGTCCTGCCCTGTCCATCCTCCGCTTCCCAAGCTCTTTCTTCTCTCGTCCACATCTCTCCCTTCCTCCATCACCTTTCGTAACTCTCATTACAGCTTACAAACAGCCACTCCATCCGGACACAACATGTCACCCAAGAAGGAGGCTCGATAACTAGTCCCATTATACAGAAGGATAAACTGAGGCTCAGATGCTTGAATTTACTGTCTTAAGGTCACACAACCATTTGGGGGTGGAGCAAGCATTCAAACCCAGGTCTCTTGAGTGCCAAAGCCCCTTCTCTCTCCACTGCCCCCATGTCCTCTCCTCCTTCTCCCTCTGGTCACTCAGCTCGGGATGAGCCCCCGATGCCCCGATAAGCACTGTCCAGTGGGGGTGAAGGGGGGCAGGAACCAGCAAAGCTGAGGCCCAGGCCTTCCCTGGGAGCTCTGCTCTACCAGAGATTTAATTCATCCAAGTCTGTGGCTTAAAAGATACCCATCCTTAACCCTGAGGTGCCCTTACTTGTTTTTATTAATAGCAAGAGGCCTCTCCTGCCCCTTCCTTCTTCCTCTTTATGTATTTCTGTTCGAACAGACCCAGAACTTGTTGTTCTGGCTAAATGAGCCTGGCAGGAACCTTTGAATGCATCAGTGGTGGCAGGTTAGGCAGGGGCCGGGCCTGGAAACACTGTGACACCAGAGCAGGAGCAAGTCTTGGTGCGTGAACCGGCAGCCTTCCCAGTTGAGACCAGACCTGCCATGGACAGTTCCTGGGAGAGAAGGAGGCAGGCAGAACGACCACTTTTTTCTCTCTCTCTCTCGATATTACTACTCTCTCTTTTTTCTTAAACCTCACCCGAGGATGTTTTTATTGATTTTTAGAGAGAGAGGAACATTGATGTGAGAGAGAAACATAGATCAGTTGCCTCCTGTATGCGCCCCCACTGGGGAACAAACCCGCAACCTAGGTATGTGCCTAATTGGGGATTGAACCCGCAACCTTTTGGTGCATGGGATGATGCTCCAACCAACTGAGCACACAGCCAGGGTTACTACTCAATTTAAAAAAATCAAGGTGAAATTCAGAGAGCATAAACTGAGCCATTTTAAAGGGAACAATTCAGTGGAACTTCATACATTCTCAATGTTATATAACCACCACCTCTCTCTAGTTTCAAGACATTTTCATCCCCCCCGCCCAAATAAAACCCTGTACTCATTTCTAGTCACTCCCCATTTCCCCCGACCCCCAGCTCCTGGCCAACACTAATCTGCTTTCTGTCTCTTTGTATTTGCTTATTCTGGACAGTTCATATAAGTGGAATCATACACTGTGTGGTCTTTGTGTCTGGCTCCTTTCACTTCACACTTTCCAGGTTCATCCATGTTGTAGCATCTATTAGTACTACATTCTTTTTTATGCGTGATTAATATTCCATTGTGTGGACATATTACAATTCGTTTATCCATTCATCTGTTGATGGACATTTGGGTTGTCTTCACCTCTTGTGCCAACTGGTTTAAAGCTAAATTGACCTCATGAGAAATATAATGTTAGCCCATTTCGCAGATGAGGAACTAAGGCTCAGAGAGGTTGAGTCACTGAGCCGACGTCACACAGCTTGTGCCTGGCAGAGCTGGAGAGGAGCCCAAGTAGATCGAGCACAGAGGTGGCTCTGCCCCTGGTTTCCTCTCCTCCTGTCCTTCCAGCCCCACACCCCTGTCCCAGCCCTGGCCCCTGTGCTGACTCTGGTTCCCTTAGGTGGGAATTCCCTCTCACACTACAAGCAGGTGCTGGGGCCCCAGCATCTGTCCTACGAAGTCGAGCGGCAGCCCGGGGAGCAGAAGATCAACTTCTATGTGGAGGGGCTCACCTTCCCCAATGCTGATTTCTCGGGGCTGGTCTCTCTCAGCGTCAGCCTCGTGGACATGGGGGTACGTATGGCACTGGAGGCTGGGATAGGGGCTGAGGGACTTGGGGGACCAGTTTGGAGGCTCCAGGACCACTGAGTCCTCGTTTCCCCCTAGACCCTGCCCGAGGTGCCCATCTTCACAGACACTGTGGCCTTCCGCATGGCCCCCTGGATCATGACCCCCAACACCCAGCCCCCCCTGGAGCTGTATGTGTGCAGGTGAGGCCTCACCCCCCCCGCCCTGCAGCTCTCCTGCCACCTCTGGAATCGTGGAGCTAGGAACAGAAGCTGTTCTGTGGTGGGCCCCTCACTCGGACCAGATGGATTCAGCGAGGGCTCCCACAGGCGCAAGCTGGGAGCAGGACAGCAGCGGGCGGGCTTGGGCCTGTCAGCCCACCTGCCCCAAGCAGCTAAGGCCCTGGTTGAGGTCACGGACTCAACCTCCAGTGCCCCTGCCTCTACCCTGTCCTGCCTGCAGCAGCCCCAGAACATTTTGGGTTCAGTCTCGGTCAGTGATGGCGAACCTTTTGAGCTCGGCGTGTCAGCATTTTGAAAAACCCTAACTTAACTCTGGTGCCGTGTCACATATAGAAATTTTTTGATATTTGCAACCATAGTAAAACAAAGACTTATATTTTTGATATTTATTTTATATATTTAAATGCCATTTAACAAAGAAAAATCAACCCAAAAAATGAGTTCGCGTGTCATAGGCTCGCCATCACTGGTCTAGGTAGTGAGACCAGGCCCTGTTCAGGCTGCAGGTGCCTGCAGGAGACCCAGCCTCTCTCTGATGTGGGGGTGCTCCTGGGCCTGAAGAAATCATGGGAACCCAGACTCCGGGGTGGACTGAGAGCCCTGGCCCATCCCAGGTCCCTGTCCTCCTGCCATCTCCCAGAATCCTTGTCAGGCCCCTCCCCTCGATGGTGAGGTGAGCCGAGGTTGGCAAGGCCACCCAAGGTCCCTGCATTGAGGTCAGACCAATGGAAAGGGCCACTGTTGACCTGAAACATAAGTCAAGAGGCAGGGAAGGGTGTGGCCAAACAGGTTTGCTCTGCTCACCTTGCGCAGGTTCTCAGAGGGAATTCTTTCTTTCCTTTGGCTCGCGAACCCCACCCTGGCTCCCCTGTGCAGGTCAGGCATGTGGAACAGGAGGAGATGGGCTACCTGCCCCCTGGCCACCACCTTAACCAGTGAGATCCAGTCCGTGGGTCACCTCCTCCACGGCTGCTCCTGCTGGGGTCTCACTCTGGGCTCCCTAGCCCTGGGCTGGCCCCTCACCTCGCACCTGTCACCTGATGTGATAGTGGGACATTGTCCGTCTCTCAGCCTGTGAGCCTCTCTAAGGCAGGGCTATGCTTGAACTCCTGCATCCAAGGGCCACACAGAGCCCAGCACAGACTAGATCAAGGCCGCCCCATCCGTCCCCCACCTCCTGGCCCCAAAGCCAAGGTCACACGGTCAGAGGCCGTTTCACCCTCCCCTCTCCCTTTGTTTGCAGCGTGATAGACGCTCATGGCTCAAATGAGAAATTTCTGAAGGACATGTCTGACCTGGTGTCAAAAGCCAACTGCAAGCTGATCATCTGCCCTTGGATTGAAAATCGGAATGATCGCTGGATCCAGGTGGGCGCAGGAGCAGACCCTGGGGGAGAGTGGGGTGGCCCGGGCGGCCTGAGCCCGGCCTTCACTTGGCTTTGGGAACGGGGCCTGCACAGGTTCCTAACCAGCTCTAGAGAAGCCAGGCCCCCTGGGACCCA